GGGGAGGAATAGAGACGAGCGCAGGTGTGTGTGTGTGTGTGTGTGGAGAATGCGTCGTGTGGGAAAGGATAGGAAACGTTGCGATTGAAACGAGGTGTATGGCAAAGGGGCAAATTTATTCATCGGATTATTCAAATTGAAAGGCGTGCTCGCAGCAGAGATATTAAGGTTTCGGCTAGTTATCGGTTTGCCAAGCCTCAAGTAAAATAGAAGAGAGTGAAACGAACATCCCTCACTGCTCCCTCATCTCTCGAGAAAGTGCGACGATCGGAGAAAATTAAGAGAGCGTAGTGAGCAAAGTTGAAAGTTTGTTCTTCGTTCGGGTTAATTGTGCATCGAAGTAACAAATTACCACGGGGAGGGGGATGTTGAAGTTTTCAGGATTCTCTTCTTCTTCCAATTTCTTTCTCGCGACAATCGATTCGAATCGATTAAGAACGGATCGACCCAGTTTGGGGGAAGGGGGAGGGGAGGAGGAATTATCGGATATTCCACGATGTAGTTTACAGCAGTAACAACTGCCGCGATCACTAACCGGGGAGCCATAGTTTCGGATGAACTCCGAACCACTAATGCCAATAGCACGCAAAGTTGCCGGATGATCAACCATTTTGGCCGGTAACCGGTGGCCAAACGTGCCTCAACTTCGGTGATCAAACGACGATCCAAGTCGTTGGCCGAATACGTTGGTCTGCTTAAAAAAATGAGCGCACAGATTGACCGATTCCATCATCGAACCGATTGCTCAGAACAGAGTCGATCGTTTCATCGTATCGGTCCTCATCGAGGAGGAAAAAATATCGTGTATTCCACGCGATGCCTACGTTCGATCGCGGTGTCGTCGGATGTTTCGAGGAACATCCGCGATCCGTTGGGACTTGGTGGAATCTTCGATTCTGGGTCGCTCGATGACAAATTGATCGGAGAGGAGTGTCTCTGCCCGACGACTCGAAGGATGTCGACCGCGAGTCGGCCGTACGTTCCCCGATCAGCCTTCCCGCGCCATTTCGATTTTCACCTGTCAAACGCAGTCGTCGCGTCCACTCGCGAAACGGATTTTTCCGAGCGGAAAAACGCGTCGCCGGTTATCGGGAGGATTACGTAATTTTCGATACACGTGGCGCTCTCGATTACGAGCCGCTCGACGTACCCTTTTCACGCGGTGTAGGTGCAGGGAGGTGTAGGTGGTAGGAAAAGTGGAGGGGAACGGCTCGTCAAAATTTCGATGACGATGGGTAAGCCAGCCACGCGACAAACGAGTGCGTTTGTTCGACGCCGTTCCTGCGCCGCGCTGATAATTGCCGCGGCATTCAGGTGTAATTGTTCGGATGAGCAACGGCCAATTAATTATCGGCCAAGCACCGACGAGCCGCGTCGTTTTATCGGTGAGCCGTGATCTACGAATATATATACCGGTCGAGCGACGCATTCCGCCCGAGAATACGCATCGTATATCGCGAAGGGACGTGATATACGCGTAATCACCGAGGCGTGACGCTGGAGGAGAAGCAAGAGGGAGGGAGAACACGTGGTCGAGACCGCGCGAAATTTTAAGTTGTGGAATCGGTGCGCCGTTCGGAGCTACTCGTTTCGGGGTGGATGGATCGTGTTTCGATAAAATTGAGATCCGCCTAAGCTCGCATTATCCTCGTTACGCGCCGTATCGAAACTTTTAATTACCTTTCGAACAAGGGAATCGCGTCAAGGGGTAACGAGGGTGACCTATCCATTTTATTCGTATCCTCGTCTTTTTCCTTCTTTCGCCCGCCTTCACGTCTCCAGTGCGAAATTTCACTAACGACTCGACGAGACACGCGAGGACACGATTATATCACGAAATTCGTGGCGAACGGAATCGAAATTCGTGATCGAGATAGAATGGCGCGATGGTTAAAAATGGTTGATTTGCGGCAAGTTTGGCCAGAGAGTGGATGGGACGCGAGGAACGAAAAATATTGGCCGATAAATATCCCCCAAAATTTTTCACCGCATCGGTGATTATTTATCGTGGCGCGGAAATATAACGTAATCCGAGTAATTATAACCTGTGGCCGGTTGATGCGCGGATTCGATTGAAATTAATTTAAAAATATTAATCGCGATTATTCGACCGATAATCCGTGATCGAGACCCCTTTGAACGGAATATCCTCGAAGCGTAAAAATTTTTTAACTTCGGTTAGAAGGGCGCCAATTAGAATCTAAATTTTTCGCGTTTCGCGAGTAATGAAACCGAAAATTTCACGCGTTTATATTATCCTCCGTGACGACGATGAAAAACGATCCGATATTTTTAATTCGAAAAATCAAGCAAACCCAAAATTCAACCCATTTTATCGATAAAGTATTATCTCTCACGCACACGCACGCTGTACCCGTGAAAAAAATCGAAGAACGCGAGGAAAGGAAGAATCTCCACGGCCGAATTCGAAATGTTTTCATTTTGATGGCGTTTCCAGAGGAGGAGAAGGTTGGTAAAACGAGAAACCTCGATGCACGCGTTAAAGTGGCGCTTATCGATTCGGGCCGCAAAGCCGCAGCCGATCCAGGCATTTGTCAACGACGACAGGAAACGTGGCCCACATAGGGCGCGTCGCGTTACCCGGACACGTTTCACGGTTCCTAGGTGAACTGTGGGGTTTGTAATACGCCGTCGCGAGCGGGCACAAGCGCAATTATTATTACGTCCATTAGGCTTGTATTCCATTGAAACGGTTCGGGCCGGTTACCGTACGACCGAGCTTATTATCCTATTGAGCTCGTAAGCGGCCGGCCGCGCGATGTCGTACGACCGTCTTACGACATCCTCCGTTCTCTGCGCAACAAGAGCCGTGTCCTCCTCCTCCTCCTCTCGGTCATCGTTCAACTTCTCGAGAAACACGAGCGGAACCGCTGCTTTTCTCAAACCATTCGCGGACGGAAGCTTAGGAGGAAGATTGGGCGAATGTTAAGGGTAAATTTCGAGAAATTTATCCGGGTCGTTCGACGAGAAGGAGACGGAGGAGAAATGTTGTCCGAAGTGTAAAGAAGGCGGACGACGATGCGACGTGGTCCGATCCAAGCGTAAGAATCGGACGAATGAAAGTTAATTGAGAGGTCGATGAAACGATTAAGCCGAACGGCCGGCCGATGACGTGATCGCGCGTGTTCGCGTCTCTCGATCTGGAGAGGGAGAAATTGCCTCGCGTAGATTGCAACGCGCTGTACGATATATATATATATTTGATTTCGACGAAGGAGAGTTTCGACTTTCGCCAATCGGTAACCGTTTAGGTCGGCGACGAAGAATATTTCAATATCGATCACGCTCTCCCCTCCCTCTCTCACGAATGTAATTGTCGCGGCAACTGCAACGGATACCAACGATGGAGGAGAGAGCGAGTCGATCGAGTTTTATTAAAGTGTTTCTCGATCGTTTAGCCTCACCCTCCTCTCCTTCCTTCTCCTCGACGACGAGATCGTCGCCCTTTGTCGTCGTCGTCGAACGAGTGGCGCAATAATTGCCAGCGGCGGAGTGTATTTTTTTCGTCGCAACGACAAAACGGTATTACCGGTCGTAAACGAACTAAAAAGGGGAGGAGGCGATGGTAAATGGGTCCCCTCCTCTCTCTCCCTCCTCCTCGTGTAATGGTGGCATCACGTGCGCTGCCGTCTACGCGGAGGGGAGGAACGTCTAGGAGGAACGCAATAATAAATTGCTTGGGCTATAGTTTTATCGTCTCATTTACGGCGACGACTTCTTACGATCTCTCCGCTCCCGTTTTCGAATCCGATGGGACCATAAAGATAAACAAGGACGACGGCTCGCGAAGGTAAACGGGCGAAGCGGTCGTCTGCAAGGTCGTTAAACAAGCTTCGGCTGGCGAGCTGGGCGGCTCGCGAGAAAAAGGGGGACGAGGAGAGGAAGAAGGGGGAGGAAACTCGAATAACGACGCTTTTACGTTTTCAACGATAACCACCCCTTGGAATATCGTTGCGCCGAATATTGTAAATACGCTCGATGCATAATTCGATTATCGACCTATCGTTTTTACCCCCTCGTTCAGCCTACTATTGCCCCCTCTCCTTTTGCTCGAAGTCCATAAATCGTGATCGATATGGCGTTGAGGGTTGAATTGTAACAGCGTAGATAGATATGTGTGCTCGAATTACTTCATTTTTTCTACTTCTTCTCGATAATCACCGATTAGATCATTTTCTCCAACAACGAGTCTAATCCCATTTTCGCGTTGTTTCAGCGCGAGGAGGAGAGGCGTGGGAAGATCAACGCCGTCTATAATCTGGGTGTCGTTGCTACTGACACTGGGAACAAGGACAACGGCGTCAGCGACGAACATGACAAACGTGTCACCGCTCGCCTCGACGGTGAAGCCGATCACGACCACGGAAGTAGTTTATCAGAGATTCGCGATCGAGCCGATGGATCAGACCGCGGTGATTGGCAGCCGAGTGACGCTTCCTTGCCGGGTCCTCGATCAGAAGGGACCTATTCAATGGACAAAGGACGACTTCGGGCTTGGCGCCGTTAGAAACCTCACGGGATACGAGCGTTACGCCATGATCGGCAGCGACGAGGAGGGTGAGTGAAATTTGCATGCAATAACCGAATCCCGGGCCGGAACGATTACTGGATAGACTTCGTTAAATTCATCTCCTTGTCTCTCTTCCCCCTCCTTCCCCCTTTTTTCTCTCCTTCCTTTTGTATACCCGGCTTTTTAATCCTTCGGCTCGAACCGGAGAATTCATTTTTTCCCTCCCCTCCTCAACTTGGCCGTGTAAAAAGGAAGGAAGGAAGAAAGGAAGGAAACTCGACGGAGTGCTCCACTTTTCCGACGTGTTTGTTGCGTTTAAATTACACGGTGTCCTTAAGGAGAGGCGGTGTATCTCCGCAGGCATTCGCGAAATTGCTTTCCCCTTTGTTGCCCGTAGGAAGGAACAACGATATTGGAAAATGCTTATGTGCGCGAACAAATTGAAACTCCGTATTTGCAAACAACCGGGATAAGAAAACGACCCCGTTCCCTTCTCTCGCTCCTCTTCCTTTTTTCCCCTCCTCCCCGATGAGGGGTATGCATCCTGTCTCCTTTAATCCCAACTCGTATCTAAACTCGTTTCCTCGTCTCGATCGCCTAATTTCGAATTTCATAAATCCTCGAGGATTTAAACTCGTTCGAGGATGGTAAAACCGAACAATTGGTAAAACCACCCTCGACGAATCGTTTGGAATTAATCGCGGATTTCGAAAGGTGGACGAAGGCAATGTATGATAATATAATCGTACGCGAAGGAAGAAAGATATGGTGTCTCTTTTCGTCCGTCGAGCGAGGAATAGATGGATCCAGGTGTAGAACGATGAGAAAGGGGTAGAACATATTTTGCTAGAAATCGAAAAATCGAATCCTGGATGGTCGCGTCCGATCGACAACGCCATTCCTTCGCGCTCGCGTTTTCCGTTTTTTCCCCGACGCCGCGGCAATCGCCGGAGGCGGCACGCATGCTGCGATGGGTCAGTTTGCACGGACCAAATTCAATTTCCTGCGGCCTATTGATTTTTTCTTCCCTTTTTCTTTTTACCTTTTCCTCTCCTTCCCCTCTTCCTTTTTCTCTTCCTTCGTTTTTTTTTTCTGTTATGGAATTGCGAGAGAGCGAGGAACTTGTGCGAAGGAAAAAGGAGGAATTAAATAGGCGAAAGGGAGGGAGGGGAAAGAAGGTTGGCCGCGACGGAATATTTTATGGCGAGTGCGTGCACGGTTGGCAAGGGGAGGGAATCGAATCGCGAACTTCATGCCGCGACTCGACTGCTCGTTTCTCGCGGAATAGCTTTAGTCCATCTTCGTTCGTTCGCGAAACGTTTCAACCCGATTGCGTGTACACGCGTGCATAGGGTGAATCGATCGGAGGAAAGGAGGGGGAAGAAAAAGAAAAAAGGAAAGAAACGGAGAGACAGAAAGATGGACGAAGTGTCGAGGGAAAAATTGGAACGGGCTCCCTTCGGGCATTATTTCGGGTATATAACGGTGTACTCTCGAGAGCGAAGTTGGAAAGTCGCGGTTAGTCGATAACGCGATCGTATTAATGGGCCGCAAGCGGCAAGTTAAATTGCCTTTTTAACGAGTTCCGAAAAAATGTGCGCGCTCAGCCTCGCCAACATTTGCCCGTCCAACGTTCGACCGTTCGGTGGATTCCGCCTGGAGGGAGCACGTTGGCTTCGATGGACGCGGACCAGACGTGCGGAGAGCCGGGGAAAAAGGATGGAATTAACGGCGATTCACCGCCAGGTCCAAAGTTTTCCTTGGATCTTTCGAAATCGATGAATCCGTAAAATTGAAACTGTCCCCCCCCCCCGGAGATTTTTTTCCCTTTCCTTTTTCGGACCATCGTGTTTCCAGCGTTTTCCAACGTGGAAATTGGCCGGTTACGGGGAGCAAGGATGGAGCTACCGTTTATTCGATTACCTGCCAATTAACCACCGGTGCACTCCCACAAAGAATTCCTTTGGCGGAACGGCCGATCTAATCGATTCGTAGCCGCAGGCTATTTTGCGCGGCGTCGCTCGTGCCGGGCGGCGGATTTAGCAATTTCTCCGTGACCGATGCGCGGCCGCGAATCTGTGTCATCTCGGCCGGCCATCGCATATACGCCGATACACCGTAATATCATAATACACGGCAACCACCACCGCTACCACCGCTAGCTCGGTCCCGATTTAACGAGGGAACGTACACGCCACCGTACACGTTTCGTTTCGCGTGCTCGAATTCGCGCCACGCTTTTTCTCCTCCTCTCGTCCGTGTCTAATGCCGCAAAAAGCGAGGCTGCAAAAAGCTGCAGCGTTTCGAGGTTTATCCAGTGAAAAATTTCCGCCGCGATAAAACATCGCTAGCCGTATACGGTACACGCGTATCGGCCGGAGCTTTGCCGTCTCATCCCCCTCCGCGCTCTTCTTTACCTTCTATTTGCACGCTGTTGCGCGTTTCGCGCGACGAGGATTAGCCCGACAACCGATTCGATACGATACGATACGCCTATCCTTCCGTATCGATATCCGTATAACCTGCTTCGTGCACGCTCGTGTACGTACGTGCTCGGCGCACGCCATGCACAACCGCACAACTCTCTCGTAACAATCACGCCGGCTCGATAAGATTGGTGGCAGGCGAGAGGCAATTTAGAGCGACGGCTGCTCCATCTATACCCAAGGCTAACTCTATCACCTACCTCCTTCTCGAATTTCGCCACGAGACTTTAATTCCTCGTATCGTGAATTAATTTCCTCTCCCCGTTTTCGTTCGACACGGAGTTAGTTTTCAGTAGGAAAAGATAGTAGATCTGATTAGCCGGGAAGCCTTATCGCCAAGTTTCTTCCGCGTTGGCTGTATTATGTGGAAAAAATGTAAGCACGGGTTACGTTGGCTCGGAAGCACCTCGGAAGAATCATAGGCCGTTCAACCCCGTTCTTAAAAATTCCACGCGTTTCGTCCGCTCGGGGCGATGTCGAAGGGTGTCGGTCTAACAGACACCGTTATATCCACGATATCGTTGACGATTAGCTGGCAAACGCGCACCCAACATCGCCGGTTTCGACTCGGCCGAGCTTTCCCATTGTTCCGAGCCTTGCAACGTCCTTGCACGCCGCTCAGAGTCGATCAGAGTTTCCACCGTTCAACTTCACCTTCGATCCCGCCGGGATTAATTAATTTAGAAGCGTTTCGTTTCGGGGGAAGAATCGTTTTCGGGCGAATTCCCGATAGAAATAGCGCGAATACGGGCGTAAATTGCACGATGTTTGCCCCCCTCTTCCTCCGTTTGATTTTTGTTTCCCCGAGATAGCGAGGAATAGAATCCGCTCGAAAAAGACGTTAAATAACGTTCCTTTAAACTCTTCCCCCTTCGTGACTGGATACACATCGAAAGAATGACCTATACACATATACATACACACAATATATATATCGCGTCTTGGTATCCCCTTGGCTCGTGACTTTCTATCAAACTCGAAACTCCCGTTCGAACAAATATTTTCTCCCCGTCTCAGCGCATTCCCGATTTACCTGCGGCAAACAAATCTTGCGCACGGCGGAGTGCATCGAAGGAATCGACGAAGGGGTCGATATTGGAAAGGTCGACGCGTTGGTCGATCGTTGGTCGATCTTGCCTTTCCGACCCAAGTAATCGCAATCGGCAACCGCGCTTAAAGATGCAAACATCTTCCGCGGCTGGGGGAACTGGAGAACCGTAAACCTTCGCGGTTGCGCCTCCGCGACACGACCATAGTTCGCGAACAATGGAGTTTCGAACCGTCCGCCGAGTCCTCTCTTACGCTCGAGTTGCTCTCAATTTGCGCTCTCCCGGATACAGATTGGTAAACAGGTGCAGTCGTAGTCGGTCGGAGAGAAGCGACTGCGAGGAAACCGGGGCCAGCGTAGGAGTAACTTGTCGGTGAAGTTGGAACGAGCTGTCGAAGGAGGAGGGGGAGGGGAGAGCGTATCGATGCATCGACGTCCGGAGCGGTTTCTGGTTCATCCGGTCGGGCGCAGCCGGTGTCATGTACGTGTCTCCGCTTTTAATCGACGGATTCGCACCATATCCGGTGCGACATTGGCCGACAAACTCCTTAAAAGGAGCGGCGCGGATAACTTTAAATTAGTTCCGAAACATTTGTCGCGCAGCCGGCTAATGCGCCCGGCCGGAGATCGATAGGAGGGATATGTATCGAGAGGCGTGTTGGAAACGGCCTTGTTGGGGGCTTGAGAGACGCGTTAATCGCTTGGCACCGAGCCGCAGCCGGACACTCCTTGATGTCTCTAAGCTCGGATCAGAGGCGGGATACAGCGAGAGGTAAGATGATTTCCCGCTAGTTTCCACGTTCGGGAAACGAGGCTATTACCTCTTCGAGGATCGGACGAGAGGATCGTTCGTTTCCTAGCCTATGCGAGAATCGCGCGATTAAATTTCTGCCAACTTGCTCTTATTCGTCTTATTCGCTTCGTTAATGCCTCGATCGTTCGCATCACTCGTCGGAGAACAGGACTCGATCGAACTCGCATCTGGTTTCGCGGATTTCTCCTCGACTCGCTTCGCGAACAGGATGCGAAACCTGTGCGACCGGATTCGTAGGCCGAGGGAGAGGAATAACGAAGGGAAGAGTCGTGTGTTTCGTGCGAGGAAAACTTATCTACTGGGGAATAAAGGCGGTCGTCCCCTCTCCTTTCCCAATTGCGTCGACGGTTTTGTTTATTTTTCGTTATTACTCAAGGCGGGGATTCCTCGAAGGAATCATAATAAATAAAACGGTTACGGTTAATATCGCGATGCCTTGTCCCTCGTGCGCGCTCCCTTGCTCAACCATCTCGTTATCGATCAGATCCCTCCCTCCCTCGATAAATATGTTTAATTAACACCGATATCTTTGCGCCCGCCCCTGTAACGGTCGATGTTTGCGGTCGAAATGTACGGGCGGCCGCGTACGATGCACGAACACGTTTCCGCGCGGGCATAAATTGTCCGACTGACACGCGTATTAATTGGCCGGCCTCGATGGCCTTAGCCCGGTAATCCGAGGAGGATTTTTCGATCGGT